CGATAGGCTGTCTGATGAGGTCAGAAGTGACGGACAAAGCAGTGATTACGATATGGATTCTGATGATAGTATGGACTCTTATCAACAGTCAAGCAATAATGGTGAGATTGAGAATGAGATCCACGAGATTCAAATGTTAGCCGTTCAATTGGATGACATGGAACAAAAATACAAAGAGCAGCTTCGAGGAAAGAATAGGTTGATAGAACAACTTGAAAATTCTTTGAAGAAAAGTGGAAAAGATCAAAAGAAGAGACGTATTGAAGTTGAACGTTTAGAAAGTCAACTTGAAGCTGCAAGGAGGGCTATAAATGAGTTGGTAGAACAAATGGGTTGTATGACTCGAGGACAATCACCTGATCCTGAACTAGCCGATAACCTCCGTACTTTAGAGCAAGAATTGGAAGGAAAAAATGTATTGATAAATGAACTTAATAAAAAAATACAAATCTCAAATAGGCAAGCTATTGAATCAAAAGAGAAAGAGAAGAAACTCGAGTTGATATCTAATCAGCTATTGAAATATCAGTCACTTGAGAGTGAATGGCAAGATAAACAAAAGACACTTGATTCCTTAACTTCTCAATTAGAAATCCTCAGAAAGCGAGAATATGAACTTCACGAAAAGGACGCTTTAATTGAAACTCTCAATATCCGCCTTGACACTTCACAAAAAGTAATCGCCGAGCTAAGGGAGAAACATGCCCCACATGATCTTTTGAGACAACTTAGACAAAAAGATTACATAATCGATACCCTCACACAACAGGTTGAAAACATTGATTCGGATATGAAAGATAAGGATGACGATATTTCTGCCCTTACTGCGAAATTAACCGAGGAGAAAAGACAAATAGAGAAGTTAAAGGAGCAAACCGCTCAAATCGAACCTTTAAAGAAAAAAGTTGAAGATGCTGAAGATGCTGCTTATGATATTCAAACTAAACTCTCTCAAAAGGAAAGACAGCTTGTCGAATTAGAAAAGAGATATAAGGAAGCTTCAAGGAACTCCCAAGATAGCCAAGATCAACTTATATCCCAAGAACAAACCATCTCCGCATTACGTCAAGAAATATCTCAGCTCAGACAAGCCTTCACAGTTCAATCCACTGAAACCCGTGAAAAAGACCGACTCCTTACGACCCTTAGGGATGAAACTGCCCATATGCGATCAAATTATCAAGGCCTTCTTAACGCTTTATCAGAAAAGGATCAAAGGATTCAGCAATTTGAACAACATCTAGAAAGTTTACAAAATGCTTCCAAAAGCGATTCACACGAAAAAGAATCAAAGATTAGTAAAAATGAGGTTCGATTAAACGCGTTGCAGAAAGTTTTGAACAATAAGATCGAGGCCTGCAGAGATTATGAAAAGAAGATCGTGGACTTGGAAAAGGATTTTGACGTATTGAAATCACAATTTGAAGAAACCAGATCGGCTAGTTCAGAAAAAGAGATTAAAATCACTAGACTCGTAAAAATGAATCGTCAATTGAAGGAAGAAGTTTCCGAGTTGAAGCAAAAAATGGAAGAAAAGGAAAAGGAATTGGTTTTGATAAAATCTAAAATTCCCAAACCGAATCCTGGAAAAGCTCCAGCTGCCTCCGTTAGATCCGCTCCAACCAAGGGTCCAAGGTCCAGGGTTTCGTCCATGTATAGTGCCAGCGGTGGTGAAAGTAGTAGCGATGAAGCTGCAAAGAGCGGTAGACCACGCATCCGCAAAGCCGCTAGCCTTAGTGGTATTGATAATAGTCCATTGAAAAATAAAACAACCTTTTCATCGGTATCTAGGAGAACGTCAGACAGTCCACGAGTTGCATTAGCTAGATCCAGATCATCTACATCAACTTCTTCACTCGATCAGAAGAGACGTAGTAACCTTGCTCCAATTCCAAAGAGGGATGTCAAGCCAAGACTTCCTTCTACAGTCAACACTGTCGATGTTCTTAAAAAGAGACGTGATGCAATCACATCAAATAAAGAATCCAGTCCTATTAATCGGTCTGCTGTCACTCAACGAAAACGTGATATGGAAGTATTGAATCACATGCTTAGTGGCGTAGCTCCTGATAGAAAAAATAGATCGTCAACACTTGCACAAAAACGTTCCACCACCACCGAAAGTGGGTCTTCAAAGAAGAAACTTACAGATACAGTCTCCAGTGATAGTGACCGTGAGATCAAGAAATCATCAACTGTGAAACGATCTAGCGACTTGACTACTATTATGGAAAAAATCCGCAATAATGACGATTCCGCGTCAAAAACCACACGACCAAAGGCATCTAGACCTATAGTTAATACCCAGGCCTCATCCTCCACCATGAAAGCAAGGACCTCTTTGAGCCGACCATTGCCGTCAAAGAAACCATAAACAACCGCAAATTTACACCGCCATTATAATATAGAGCTTAAAAAAAAAAGTTGAAGAATACTCACAAAGTTGGGTGTTGGCGGTCGAACTTTTTTTTTTCCTTTGCCTTTTTTATCATTATCTTATTTTGGGTTGGTATTGGTTTATAAATATAATATATCCTTGGTTCCTGTTGTCCTTTTTCCCGTTCATTTCCAATTTGTTGGACATAATTCTATATGGGTCTACTGGATAGACAGTATATGGTCAGGATATTTCATCTTTCCTTTATTGTAAGTTGCATATTAATCTAAATATTTCTGCAATTTTCTTGTTTTACTCTAGTTGGGATTTGTTTTTCTGTTAATTTTTTTTTTGTTCATTTCCTTGGTCAAAAAATCAATATTGAGAAAAAAATCAAAAAAATCCACAAAAAAAGAGTAAAAACGCGAAAAAAAAATCACAAAAAAAGCACAAAAAAAAACCAGTTTGGTTTTAACATAACAAAAAAAAAAAAAAAAAAAAAAAAAAAACATTTATTTCGAGAGGGCTGTTGTAAATACACCATATAAGAATTTATTATCTTTACTTTTTTTTCATTATTTTTTTTTTTTTTGTTTTTTGTTTTCTATTCATGATTTAGCTGGTTTTTTTTTTTTTTTTATACATTCTCTTCATTTAATACATTTAAAATAAATCTTTTCCGTTTCTTTTTTCTTCTCCCTCCCTTTTCATACTTTCATTTCCAATTTTTCTTATATTAATATATATATTTCTTTTTTTTGGTTTTCTCTTAAAAAAAAAAAAAAATTTTCCGTTTCATTATTATTATTTTTTATTATTTTATTTTTTTTTCGCAAATTATATATATTTACCAAAATAAAATTTGAACAAAAGAGAGAGAGAGGCAAGAGAGACAAAGCAATCCAGAAAGAAAAAAGTTAAAAATATACAAAAATCGTTCTAAGCTTTTTTTTTGAAATATTTTTTTTTTTTTTTAAATGCTTACGTATTGTAGCTGTTCTTGCGTTGAATTTTACTAATTAAATTTTTTTTTTTTGGATCATACAACAAATTAACAAATGGCAAATATTCAAAACTGCATCGCTTCGCTATCATGATCCAAAAAAACTATAATGATAAAAATTTAACTCCAACAACTTCAAAAATTTAATTTATTGGCCAACGCAGTTAAAATTTGTTAAATATTCTTGGAAATTTAATCTTTACCTTTAACAATCAATTACCTTTCAACACATCAAACGCCAGTACTGACTTTAATATAAAAGAAGTCTCTATACCTTTGCAAACAATCCTTCCTTAACGGAAAAATTGGATTAACTCTTATCGTTCAAAGAAAGTTCTCTTCGATCAAAAAGTCCATAATGGTGAATCCTTATCTGAAATATAAGAACTTTCTCTATAAATAATATCTGTCTCAAAAACTTGAAGCTATTTTTCCAAATGGTATAATATGCTTAAATTGATTGTAGTAAAGAATTCAATATAATCAAACAGACTCAAAATTCAATATATAATCCAGTCATTTATCTCCAATGATTACAAGATTTCATCATCATTAGATACTGATAATGTTATAAATTAGGTAACTTTATGAATTCCACTTATAATATTTTTTATAACTTATCTTTTCCTAACAACAATATTTAAAAATCAATTAAGACCTTTATTCTACCAAATAAAGTTATATTTTAATATTTTATCATAGCAAATTATTCTAACGATTTTAGATCAATATCAAAAACAAAACATATTTATAGATGTTATAAGAAAGTTCAATTGAAATACATTAGTAAATATTAACCTTCAAATTATTAATATTACATTTTTTATCAGTTAATTCAAAAGTTATATTTTCTGAAAAGAAACATAATTATATCTAATTAGGCAATTCAATATTATATTAGTTAATTAATTATATTATTTAATGATTAACTTAATAATCACTTTTTTTTTAACCAATAAATAATTTAAAATACTAGAAAAACAGATTTTATTAATATTTAGAGTAAAAATCAATATAACTTTTTATTAAATCCTTAAAGTAATAACATTTATTATATAATATTTTAGAATACAGAAAAGTAAATGAAAGGTCTTAGTATATTGTTAATATTAAAAATGAACATCATCACAAATGCAGAAAATATTAAGTGAGAACTATCAAATGATAATACGTAGCAATGATCAACAATTACTGTAATAAACAAATCAGAAAAATACTAAGGATTTACATGATTTATCTAATCAACAAATTTACCTGCTCCTCCTAATATTATAAATTTATTTATACTTATAATAATAAATAACCTTCTGTTCTAAAATAGTTAGTTTATAACATAACAAAATAGTTAGCTATAGTCAATTCTTGCTGATTATAAGATGAGATTGGCCTGACAGACTTGGCTAATTTAATTACACAGCCTGTTCCTTGCTCCGTCATTACTAATCAAACTAAACCTTCAGTACCGCTTTTAAGATAAGACAAACAGATAAAGTTCTTGGTATCATTTCGAGGAAGATTGCCAAACTTGATTACTTTTAGATTTGTAGAAAGGGTGACCCAATTCCATAAGTTTTCAGTCATCTTGATGTAAGACCAAGTAGAGTCAGCTAAGTTAACCTTCTACCTGAATGAAGCTGCTATCTTGGATAATATAGAAGCAATAGCCCTAGGGAGATTCTTATTAGTAGAACTGAACACGTCACTGGCAAAGACTTCTCATTTTTTGTTGGGTTTCCATGTATAGGAGGACTGCCGTATAACTAGAATAGATGTTTGATTTGCTTTATCAAAACATGGAATCCTTGGAAGACATATAACAAGAGGTGATTGACTTGGATTGGATACACTTTGTGGTTTAGATACAATGTTCATTTGGGTTGCAGTATCAGTTTTATGCAACTAGAAAAACCGCCAGAGTTTATATGTAGAAACGATCCCAAATTGAAACTCAATCCTATAAAAGGACTTCAGTAACATCAGATAATCGAATACTTGACCAGCCAGCAGTGGCTCATCCATGATTGTATCTGATGGCTTCTTGATTTTAATAAAGCCCACAGACAGGCTATTGCAACAAATAACCCAAATATCAGGTCTTTGACTGCGGAAGGCCATTTCAGCATACAGCATGATATTATCACTTCTGCCCATAGCATGTATTGTGTCTCGCAAAACTATATTGACATAATTAGCAATATCAGCCTCAGATGCGTAACTGAGATACCCCGAGTTTTTATAGGTCAACCAAATTGTTGATGGTGTTTCAGCAAGTGATAAATCATTAATGAGTGAGAACTTGGAGTTTATAATGTCTGCCTCTTCATGTGATTCATTTTTTGATGAAGAACTCTCAAGGCCAACCTGCCCACCAAGCAAGGGAAGACCATCTCTTGCGATAGACTTAAATGTTACTGAAAAAAAGAAGAGAAAAAATAAATAAGCAAATGTAGAGAACCCATATTGCTATGTCTACTCTACCCTATATACACACTACTCTATCCCCAACGTCTAAGTCACAAAGTCGTTACCTAGTTGAGCAGCTGTTACTTTCAGTGGCTTCTTCGCAGAAGCAATGTTCTTCTCTACCAGACAATTCAGCTCGAGATCCACTTCCTCGTCGTATCTTCAGAGGGTAATATCAGCGGTAGCTACAGCGTCTAACCTTAGTTTGAGCTTCTCCTTTATCGCTACCTTCAGGTCGGCAACATCCTCTCCGTCAAACTTGATTTTATCCGGCTGACTTTCACCGTACTTGAACCAGATGTTGAAAGGCATAACAGTCACTGGTCATTTCCGAAATCAAGGGTCAAATAGATTTACTAATTAAATATGCAGCTTTGTCAATCACTTTTTTTACTATGATTAATTAGTAAAAACCAGTTTTTTCATCATATGTAATCCTTAATTTTCTACCAATAAATTTTATCTAATTTTTTTTTTTTTTAGTCTCTGGGTTTCTGAAACAAATTTTTTCTGCTGTTTATTAATGAGAAGTTAGAAGGATTTCTCTGTAAAGTTGGTAACTTTTTTTGTTAAAATATTATAACCTTTCAAGTAAATGGGAAACTACATAAACTGCACAAACAAGTTTGGTCTTAAGAAATATATTTTTATTCAAGATTTTTAGTTTTTAAATAAAATAAAATGTAAATTATGTAAAAAAAAGATTATAATATTTTGGTAAAATATCTTAATATTTATTTAAATTTGATGCGTATAATAAAGAAAAATCACCTTTTTGGCCTTTTCTCAACAATGTACATATAAACTTCAAAACAAATTTAACAATAATATATCTATATTAATGGTTAACTTCTCATGTAAATGACTTTAAAAAGAGCCAGAAGGATCTCAGTTTAAAGTTCAAAAAATCATAGAAAAGCCTTATATATTAAAATATTTAAGGAAATGAGATATTATAACGAAATTAGTGCCATTTGAAAGTTCATACGTGCTACTTTTAGTATATTATAAAAAAAGTTGTATTTTGTTAAAGTCTTTGTTGTGTTCGAACCTAATAAAGATAGGCTAATTTACATAGTACAAAAATTTTAATTAGTTATTAACACTATGCTGGAAATGACCAGTGACTGATAAGAGTAAATTTTTTGTGCAGTTACAAATCAAATTCATTTGTTCTAATATACGTGCTGATTAGTGACTAATCAATGACGTATTGGTATATTACAAACTTTCTAGGTCATATGTTCTCCTGTATGCAGAACGTGATCAATGATAATCAATGCGTATAAACACGCTTTTTGTCTATTTAAATATCATAAATAATCAATTTATTATCAACACTAATGGTTTATTTTCAGAAAAATCAACCACAACTCAACAAATATTGCTTAAAAAGATAAAAAACCAGATCTAACAATTTTTATCAATAATGTTTTGCAAAAAATGTTTATATTCACAAGTGAATTCTTATTAATTAGCTTCATTCTTAGCATGATCTGTAATAATTAACTCTATAATATAAGAATATTAAGTAAGACTATGAAGTCCAGAAAGTTATCAATAATGAAACTATCAGCGAACAAAACTTACTCGCTAGAGGTCAAAATGTTGTGAAATGATTTTAAGACAAAAGAATTAAATTAGATCTAAAATTTTCATTTAACAAAATGGCGTTTAAAATTCATAAGTTGCTTAACAAACAAAAAGCCATTGCTATGTCTACAATAAGAAATTTTTATCTTTAAAGAACAACTCCACGTGAAAAAAGATGATCAAAGCAATCTAACATTAAATCAATGAAGAAAATAAGAGAAACGCAAATTATGCAGATGAAAAAATAGATGATAATGACAATATTAGTAATAATAACAATAGTAAAGAAAATAATGAAATGTAAATTCACATCAGAATGACCAAAGAATAGGTTATACTCAATTAATAGCTTTAGGTCTGAGTATTTTCTCTCATGCAATCACTCTGATACTTTCATATTATTTATATCTTCAAGAGCATGTATTCAATAATCAAAAATAATAAATTTATGCTTAAAATATTTTTATATTGTTTGGCAATTATGTCAAAGCAAAATGCGAATTAAGCTCAACAAGTGTGTTTAAGCTATCCTTTATCAGAACTATAAAGAGTTATCTTTTGTTGATAGGTCACTCAATCAACAGAGATCTTTTATATTAAATGTTTTCCTTTACCTTTCTTCTAATTTTCATTTTTTTCTTGATTTATGATGAATTAGTAATAATGTTCATTTATGGTTTACTATTTTTCATTCTTCCTGGTAAATTTCATAAGTAATTTTTCTTTATCTAGATATTCCTTAAGAATTTTGGTGTCATTAATTTTAAAAACATAAGGCGTAATTTTTTCACCTTAAGCTTTCTTTAGAATGCTTCTAATAGTGTTATAATTCTTTGATTCCATGATGGATTTAATGTAAATCAGTTTCATATTAATATTTTTTATATAGAGATAATCCTATATTAATCATGTTATTATTTATATTTATTACATTCTGATATGATAAAGTGAACATTAAAATTAATAAGTTTATAAGTTATGAATGAGCATCATTATTACTTTTCAAAAAGTCATCAATCACACTAGTCAATTTTACAGCCATATCATAATCAGCCTCATTTACATCACATAATCAAATGTTCACTTTGTCTGGTTTTGTTACAGCATACCTCATATAATCTATTTTATTTCTATCAAAAATTATATGATTTAACTTATTAATTAAAATTAAAAAATTAGATTTGTTAATTTGTGATCTACCTTTGAATCAGTAAAAACTACTAATATATTTCAGAGAATTATTTTTGCAAATTAATTATTTCTTAAATGGTTTTTAAGCTAATTTGTCTAAAATTTATTTAAGTATTACAGAATAATATTCTGGAATACATTGATTGATAAATTTGAATTATTGTATATTAATTTTACAAGTTTGATCAATATATTCTTATCATTTAAGATTACGATATTATACAAATTGGTGATTTTACATAATAAATAATTAGCCAAATTTGTATTACAATCCTAATTGAAAAATGTGTAACCAATTGCTTATAAATGTCTGTTAAAACCTTCTCAAAATAATTTCGTCATACTCTTTTCTATGTTTTTAATATAGTTTTGACAGTTTCAGCTTTTATTGTATCGAATGGATTTCGTCATATCTCTTATTATGATTTTAATATAGTTTCATCTAAGTTTCAACTGTTATTAAGGAGTTTCATCCCTCATCTATACAATTGCTTAAAACTAGAAGAATTTAAATTTGTCAATAATTTTTATATTATACGATTAGTTAAAAATTTTTCTTTAACAACGCTAGATTTTAACCCTTAAAAATACTATAATTACTTAACTACAAGAAGTGGAATAACCACAAAATTGATATTTTTTACTAAAATATTATTATTTATATATCAATAAATATTTTTAAAGTTATAAATAATAAAATAAATAAAAAAAAAAATACTAAAATTATTCATTTCTATAAATCATAGACTGTCTAGCTTATTGTGCTATATTTTATTTATGTTGAACAGTATATCTAGCTATCTAATTTTAAATAATTGATATTTTCAGAATATCAATTTCTTATAAATTACCTTCTTCTACTAATTTTGTAAGTTCATTTCACATTTTCTATGTATTATATTGGGAAATTTGATAGGTGTAAGATTGCGTAATCTTATATTTTATAAGTTTTACATAAGATTACAGGACCATTGAAACTTTATGAAATGTAATACTTTATTACCTTATAAGATGAAATACTTTGAAACCTTACGAAATAGAATACTTCATCACCTTATGAAATGAAAATATTTTGAAACTATATGCTTCATAAGTTTTAAGATACATAATAATTCAAAGGTTTATAATACATAATAATTCAAAAGGTTATGATACATAATAATACAAAAGTTTAAAACACATAATTATTCAAAAAGTTACAATGTGTAATAATATGAAAGTTTACAATATGTAATCATTTGAAAGGTTATTATGTGTAATAATTTGAAGGTTTTATGATATGTAATAATTTAAAAAGTTATAATTCATAATAATTAAAAGGGTTACAATACATAATACTTTGAAGTTTTTTCCAAAATAACTTATAAAACATATATTTTATAATTATTAAATATTTTATTATTTATTAAAAAAAAAAAAAATAAAAATAAATTTATAAAAATAAAATAATAATTATATAAAAAAAAATTCTATAATTTTTAACTCTTAATCTTTTTGCGATATTTTTTTAATATTAAAATAAGTTTTAATTAATATAAACAAAAAAAAATATCAAAGTTTAAATAGATTTCTTATATTAATAATTGAATTATTATTATTTATTTTTCTAATATATAATAAGTTAAAATTAAAAATAAATTATACTATAAATTAAAATAATAAAATTTTATATTACAGTCTGGTGTATTTTCAAATTTAGAAATCAAATTTAGAATATTCTTTAATCACGTCTTAAAATTTAATTAGTATTTGATCATTATTTTTATAAAAATTTCGAAATTAAAATATATCATACATAATTTTATTTTTTATAAAAATAACTTGAAATATATTCTTTTAGATATATAATTTCATAATCCACGCTAATCTATAAAGCTTTATAAACCAGTTTTTAAATTATTTTTAAACTAAAATACACTTTTTTTTTTACATATATATATGTTATTTAGCAATAACAACTTCAAAACCAAAAGCTAAAAACTTATTTTGCATATTCAATTATATTGTTAGTAAATATCCAAAAAGCCAACTAGTATTATGTGAAATTAAAGAAAAACAAATATGATAACATGCATCAACTGAAATAGTAAAGAATAAAATTACAATTTTAGCTAACTGTTTTTTTAAATTAAATTTATTACTTGATTCTTTAGAAAATTATTCTTTATGTGAAAAACATTATAATAATATTATTGCTAAAGATTTTTTTATTAATCAATTGAAAAAAGCTAATAACTAAATTTTTTTAGATGAAGAAAATAAAAGAAAAAGGTTAAAATTTTCTGATAATAATAATGACAAATTGTAAGCTTATTGTGATTTTAAAATTCAAGTATCTTTACTAGATCTAGAATATGAAAATAAAATTAATGAATTAATGCATCTTAATAAGCAATTATTATTTGAAATTAATGAATTAAAGTATCTTAATAAGCAATTACTATCTGAAAATGAAAAATTAAAAAAAAAGTTAGATAGCCGATTTGCTAATTAAGAAGATTATATCAAAGCTATAATAGATATTGCCA